GCACTGGCAATATACTCCCAAAACACAGCCTCTCCCACTCGTCAGGGGAAAGGCCTCCCCACCCACCCTGGTAGGGCCACTTGCTTCTCTGGCCCTCAGTTTTGGAGCTTTATTCCCCCACTCCACCCCCAGCAAAGGCAGGGATGGAGAAGAACGCTGGGAAGGTGAAAAATGGAAACGGGGAGGTCTGGGTTCAAATCTCAGCTCAGTCACTTTCTACCGTGGAACCTGGGCCAATTACATTCTCTAAGGGCCTCAGTTTTCCCATCTCCAAAATTTACATCCTAACATCTATCTTGCTAGGTTCTTGTGTCAATCAAATGAGATCAGAGTAACAACTAAGAGAGCAAGAGCTGGCCAAGCACGGTGGCTCGCGCCTGTAATCCCAGCACTTTGGGAGGCCAAGGCAGGCAGATCACGAGGTCAAGAGATGGAGGCCATCCTGGCCAACATGGTGAAACCCCATCTGTACTAAAAATACAAAAATTAGCTGGGCGTGGTGGCATGCGCCTATAGTCCCAGCTACCCGGTAGACTGAGGCAGGAGAATCGCTTGAACCCAGGAGGCGGAGGTTGCAGTGAGCCAAGATCGTACCACTGCACGCCAGCCTGGGCTACAGAGTGAGACTACGTCTCAAAAAAAAAAAAAGAAAAGAAAAGAGAGCAAAGAGCTTCCTCTGCCCCAGGAACCATCCACTAGAAGCTGGATGTGTGCACATCAAGGGGGCTATAAAGCAGGAGGGCAAGGGGTGGCCATAGGGAGAGGACTCTGGGTCCAAACAACGCATAGGGTCGGGGAGGTGGGGAGAGTGCCCTTGTCCCCAAATCCACTTCTGTCCCAGATTCAGGGGCCCTTCGCCACCATACTTGCCTGCCTGCCCCTTGAAATGCTAGGGCAAGGTTCAATCTTCACTCACCTCCTGCACCATTATAGGGCTGGCGGGGTGGATGGTGAGGGCCTCTCCCCACTGCCCTCTGCTGCAAATTTGGGAAGGGCGAGAAGGGCCTGGCTGGCCACTGAAGGGACCCCCGACTCACCCCACCCACTATCATTCCTATGAATTGGTCATCTAATGGGCTCTGTCATTGACTCACTGGGGGACCTGGAGGAATTCGCTTCCTCTCTGTGGGTCTCGGCTCCCTCCTCTCTAAAGCAATGAGATGGAGAGAGAAGCCTGAGAGGATAAAGCCCCTTGCCTGGGTCCTCTCCCCTCTTCTGGGGCAGGAATCGTCCCCAGGTGTTTGCTCTGCTCTCTCTGGAGCATTACATTAGCCCCACAAGGTAGAATCGACTGGGATGATGAGAGACACCACTCACAGAAAAGACGTGCCTTGCCCAAGGTCACACAGCTGGCAAAGTGGCCACGTCAAAGGCAAACTGAAGCACTCCAGGTCCCATGTCTCTGTGGTCCCCATGACAGAAATATCCTGGGGAGGGTGTGGAGGGTGGGAGAAGGGCTGCCGTCGGCACCTGAGCATGTGGTCTATGCCTGCCTCCACCCTCTGGTGGGTTGGGAAATGATGGATGCCAAGGCAGAATCAGGGGTCAAGGGAAAAAGACTGGAACCTGGACAGATGCCAAGAGCTCCAAGCATCTGGACTTGGATCAAGTTAGAGCTCTAGAGACAGAAGGGCCTGGCTTTAAACCCCAGCTCCTCTATTTATTAGCTGTGTGACTTCAAGCAAGTGACTCTACCTCTCTGAGCCTGCTCTATAAAGTGGGGTTAAAAATGCCCACCTCAAAGGTTGGTGGGGTGGGCCCAGTAGGATTGTGCTTGGTACACAGTAGATGTTCCAAAAGTCATAGCTGTTATCCCTGGGGTTCCTACCCAGCTGGACTATGGCAACCCTCGCCAGCCTCCTGCCTCAAGCAAGCGTGCCTAAGGAGACAGCATCCGTGGCTGGGAAACGTGCCCCCAGACCACTGTGCTTATCATCAACATACTCATAGCTCAGGAAATGTCCAGAAAGTTCTGTCTAGAGGAAACAAAAGCTGGGCCCACATCTTCCAATGGCAGGGATGCTAAAAGGCAGGACAAGGAAAGAACGCTGGTCCCACTGCCGCCAGGGATGGAGCAAAGGCAAGGTCTTTGGTGCAGGAGGTGCGAGCAGCCTGCAGACCCAGGACAGAGGCCTGGGCTGTGCTGGGGGCAGGGGTGCATCAAAGCCAGCGGCAGGAGGCAGCGTCGGGTCAGAGTGAGAGCCCAGGCTATGGCGCTGCGCAGCCAGCCGGGCCAGGTGCTGCCCAGCCTCCTCCACACGATAGCCAGAGCAATCCCTTTAGGTGTAAGGCACATCACGTGTGGCTCCTCATCTCCAAGTAGAAGCTCAGGTCGTGATCTTGATCTGCCCCCTCCCCTCAACCCCACCCACTCTGCTCCAGCCGTTCTGGCCCCTCTTCATCACAACCCTCCAGGCTGTGGTACTGTCTGTGGAACACGCTTCCCTCGCTTCCTTCCTGCTCAAATATCCCCCCTCCAGAAGCTTCCCTGACTACCCCATCTAAAATAGCATCCTCTATGCCCTCACCACGTTTTATTTTTTCTTACGATTTGCCACTCCCTGGCGTTATATTTTGTGTCTATTTGTTTTATTATTGACCTTCCCTAATAGACTGGAAGCCCCATGAGGACCAGGGAGGGCTCTGTGCAGTTCACTGCTGTATCTCCAGCCCCTGGGACGGTGTCAGGCACAGCGTAAAGCCAATAAATATTTTTTGGATGAATGAGCAGATGACTGCTTGCATTCTGGCTCCACAATTTTCTAGCAAACACCCATCTCTTAGGATTATTGTTTCCATTAAATAAAATGATACAGGAAGAGTGAACGCAGCTGACATGTAACAGGTGCTCCATCGAGGACAACGTGAATCACTGTGACCAGCCAGAGTCTCAGGCTGTCGCCTGTTCACTGTGAGGCCTGGGGCAGGCTGATACTGTCTTGGAGTCTCTGTCCAGTGTGGAAGCAGGGGTGCCCACCTCTCATGCAGGGATACAGGGATACCCACCTCCTACACAGAGTTGTCTGATGGATACCCAGGCAGCGCACCTACTGAAGCCCCCAGCAGGGGTTCCGATGATGTTAGACACTTTCCAAGTGGCAGCCGCCACCATCCCAGAGAGGTTAAGATCTGGACACAGGCCCACCCGCTTCCGCTTTCTCGTTCTGTGATCGTGGAGAAGCGGCGTAGTGTTATTGAGCCTCAGTTCTCCTCATCTATAAAATGGGGATAATAATGGCATCCTGAGAACACCATGAGATGTGCAGCTAAAGAGCTTCACAAAACTCTACAGAAATGTGCTGTGACGGGCAGGAGGGCGAGCCACAGACATGCAGGACAGGGCCCGGGGTGAAGCGATAAGGCTTCATGACGCAGAGAGCGAGGCAAGACCAAGAGCTATGCTCGGAAGAAGTGGAATGCCAACCCCGGCTAGGAACCTGCAGAGCAGACACTCCTACCCCTTCCCACTGCCTCTGCCCCCACCTCTCCTCAGGGTCTCAGGGGGACCTCTCCCGACCAGCCCTGGAGGGGGAGTTTTCAAGGCAGGCAGGTGACAGCCACAGGACCCCAGCAGCAGAGGTGCCTTCTGCCTCAGGCTATCTCCTGCCCCACCAGGAATATATGGTTTCCCCTACGAAGACACTTAGGTTGGAGGCCATGGAGAGGGGAAAAACAGAAACAGTCCCCCACTCTAAGCCTGACTGCTCACACAGCCCAAATCTCAGGGCAGAGGACTCACTAACCTTCAATCTCCCTCAATCCCGAGACTAACCTGGCCTCTCCCTGACATCCTGGGACAGGCCCTGGGAAATAAGACCTTGAAGGATGGGTTCTTGGAAGGTAACATCACCAGATTCCTCAAACTCCAGCCCCTGGGAGTTTGAGGAGAGACACGCCAGGTCCCAAACTGACCTAGATCCTCCCACCATATTCCCTTGTTCAACCTGTGCCTGGCAAAACACTGATGGGGAAGACACAAGTGATTCAATCAATTAATCCCTAGACTCGAGCTCTGAGAGGCACGATTTCTTGTCTGTTTTATTCTTTGATGAATTTCCAGTACCTAGAAGAGTGCCCGGCACTTACTAAGTGTCTAAGAAATATATATTGAATGGATGAATCCATCAATAAATGAGTGAATGAAGCAATGAATCAATGAATTACTAGAAGTGAAGTTCCCTGAGGGCCGGGATTTTTTTCCACGTTCTTTGATAAATCCCCAGGGTCTGGAATCGAGCCTTGGCACATGAGAGGTATGAGTCAATGCATATGAACAAATGACTGAAGCGGCCACTGAATCAATGACCCATTAGAATGGAATCTTCCTGAAAGCAAGGATTCCCATCTGTTCTAAGGCTGCCTTCTCGGTGCCTGGTGTAGAGTAATGTTGAATTCAAAGAATGAATGAATGAATGAATGAATGAATGAATGTGCAAGGCCCTAGCTCTCCGTGCAAAGACCACAGATCGACCAGAAAGCATGAGACACAGAGGCCACCCTGCCCCCGCCCTGCCACCAGCCACCACTCGCCTCATGGTTTTTTAAATAATTTGTCTGTTGTTTTTAATTGTTGAGGCAGTAATACTTGGTTCATGAAACTGCAATATACAGAGAGGTGAAATAAATAGCTTATATATATATAATATATATAATATAGCTGGTTTTAAAATATTCCCTTATCATTGGTGTACTAGGTCACGTGAGTCACGGAAGGTCGATAGCAGCATCCTCCAGAACTGCGAGCAAGGCAGGGTCACCATGATTGGACGAGGCGTCTGTCGTCGGGAGGTCGAGGCGCGGAGAATTCCCAGGGGCACGCCTTCCCTGCGCGGTGTCTGGGGCAGCTTGCAGCGGACAATAAATAAATGACTGCAAACCAGAGAGCGATTTTTGTTGGAGTTTGGGGCAGGGATAGAGGATTGGGAAAGTTCGGGGGAGTTTGTTGGTGGGCAGAGTACTACTTTCTCTTTGTTTTTCTTTTTGTTTTTTTTTTCCTTTCAGAACCTTTGGGAAAAAGGACTTTGGTTTCTCGAAGTGTCAGTTTCCTCATTCAAGTCCTCCTCTGGGGACGAGTTTAGAGTTGTCTGTTCCTAGAGAGAGACAAGCACCTGTGGGTTGACTACAGTCCCTTTGCATGAGTCTTTTGTCATCGGGGGGTTTCAAGTCAACAATAAAATCCTTATCACCCCTCCCCCCAAGAGTTTTGGTTCAGTTTTTGTCTTCTTTTAAACACAATGTACAAAAATAGAGCTTCTTCCTTATTTTTCATGTAAAAATATTCCTCTGATGCAGTTCTCTGGGAGTGTGAGTGTGGCCAGGGCGACCTGAGGGGCCGCGGCGGGGTGGCCTAGGCGGGGTGTGTGGGCCGGATCCGACGGGACCTCTTGGTCACCGTCGTGTACTTGAAGGGCTTCTGAAGCTCCGGCTGCCCCTTGGGGTAGCGCTTCATGAAATGCACGTCCTGCTGGTTCTCCCGGGTCTTGGGACCTTTCCGCGGCCGCCCCTTCTTGGTGAAGCCCACGTACCAGCCGGAGTACTTCGCCGACATCAGGGCCGTGTAGTTGTTCTCCAGAACCTTCTCGATGAACACACACTCCTTGCTGGTGCCATCGGGCTGCAGGGGAGAGAGGGGGAGTATTCAAGAAAAAAAATGACTCAGTGATGCTCGCTAAAGCACAGTGAGGAAGGTTTTTTTCAGGACCATTGAGATCCTTGTAGGGACAACTGTAAGGAGGTTTTGCAGAGGGGGAGAGAGATTGAGCTCAACTCTGAATACAGCACAGGCAGGTGGAGGTTTATAACCAAGGAGCAGAGTAGAAAATGACTAAGAGAAAACATCGAGGGTGTGGGGGATTCTGGCTAAAGCCACCTAACAGGGTTTTTGCTGAGGACAGGCCAGGGTGACCAGACATCACCTGGGTGATGGAGGAGGATGAGGACCCTGATCATATATCAAGAGTGGGGGGTTCTTGCTAAAATGACTTATCACAGCTCTTGCTAAAACTGGATTTTACAAAGAAGCGCACAGATGGGCCTAAGAGAAGGTTCAAGAGCCTGACTCTAGTTTGGCCAAGTGAAGACTCTTTGTTAGGAGGAGAGAAAGGGGACAGTAGGTACAAGGGGCATGGGCAGGAGGCTGTGGCTGGGGCAGCACAGGAGAGACAGCCTTCACTTCCTGGATGTGTGGAGTAAACTTTTGTTACTGACTCCTGCATCTTTCCCCCACCCTCCAATTAGGTAACAGACTCCCACTGTCATTCAGAAATCTATTCCTGGCTGGGCGCAGTGGTTCACGCCTGTAATCCCAGCACTTTGGGAGGCCAAGGCGGGTGGATCACCTGAGGTTGGGAGTTTGAGACCAGCCTGACCAACATGAAGAAATCCTGTCTCTACTAAAAATACAAAAATTAGCTGGGCGTGGTGGTGCATGCCTGTAATCCCAGCTACTCGGGAGGCTGAGGTAGGAGAATCTCTTGAACCCGGGAGGCAGAGGTTGCGGTGAGCTGAGATCGTGCCATTGCACTCCAGCCTAGGCAATAAGAGCGAAACTCCATCTCAAAAAAAAAAAAAAAAAAGAAAGAAATCTATTCCTTCTTCCCCCTCTCCACCCTCGTAGACCAGGGGCTCCACCTTATCCCTACCAGAGCAAGATATCCATACACTATTTTCCCTTTGGCCTCAATGATTGGCTCACAGGTGAGCAAGTGACCCAAGCCATCCAATCAGAGTGTTCCTTGAGACCTTTTCTAGGCAACCCCAAACATAGGTGGATTTAAACTGGAGGAGTTTGTAAGGCTGAAGCAGAGGCAGCCACTTTATCACCATGGGGGGAGATCCTGTCTGACAGTGAAGCCAGCACAGATAAAGCAAAGCCAAGGAGGGGAGAAGGAGATAAACTACATACTGGTCACATCATTTGGGCTCTAGGTGGCATCATTTGGGCTCTAGATCCAGCCACGTCTGAAGCTCAAGTTACCTCACGGTTATGTGAGCCAATAATGGCTCGTTTCCTTTAAACCAGGTGATGATACTGTGTTCTATCGCGTACAACAGAAATGAGTCCTGATAGATTTGCATAAAACCCGACATTAAATCAGCAACTCAGCTGTAACTCAGCTCCACTGTGATCTAGATAAATATAAATTACACATCATGTAGGATGTGGTGCATCTTAATACTTGGTATGAAGTAAGGCGGGGGCCTCCAACAACAAGAGATTTCACATGGCCAAACTCCAAACTGTGCCATCGGTTGTGGGATCTCAGGCTCCTGGGCCGATGTGTGAAATCCCTTGGGAGCCTGGGTATGCTGGGCAAGGAGCACTAGATCTGGAGTCAGAAAACAAATGACCTCTAACACTTCCCTTGTGTAACCTCAGGCCAGTCAGTCCCACTCTGTAAACCTCCAATTCCTCACCTACCTAATGGGAACAATGACTTCTGCATGTAGAGACACCGCAGGAGTGAGGCTTATAAATGAATCTGACACACAGTACTAGATTATTCCTGAAGGGCAGCTGCTCCTGACAGGGCGCTCTTGGATCTGATCTGGGCAGGGGGCGGTGGGGAGGCAGGGTTTTAGTCTCCTCTCTGAGACAGCCGAATTGTTCGATGGGGAAGAGTGGGAAACACACAAAGTTGGAAGGCCTGAATTAGCAGCACTCGAGTTTCCAACTAACATCTCCAAATGTAGGCCAGGCCCACTCCTCGTTCCGGACGGATGCCCAGCCAAGCTGGAAGCCCAGCGGTCTGGCTGTGTGTGGAGACTGAGGTGCGAGTTCCAGCCTTTTGTTTGAAGTGGAAAACAGGCTGGAGCTTCCAGGAACGCTCACCTTTGAGCAGAGGGCAAGCTTGGGCCCTCCAGACAAAGTGCTGAACTTTGCAGAAGGGACAGGCAGGGTAAGAAAACACTCTGGAGGATGAGATCTTTCGAGGAGGCTGCAGAACAGGCAGGGGCAGGCCTGGGACACAAACGTGGAACCCAGAGGACAGTATGGGTGGCGTGAGCAGCAAAGATCTATTGTGAGGAAAGCCAGGGTAAGCGTGCAAGGCAGGTGGAGAGGAGTCGTCCCTGGGCTCTGGGTACCCCATGGAAAATTCTGGATGCTGCCTGTCTAACCTGAATCCAGGTTCTTTGCCTGGTCTCAACTAAAGAGTAGGAGCAAACAGACCAAAGGCTACACCATGATGTTTCCCCATCCTAGAATACCTGCCACTGCCTGGAAAATGGCTTTCATCCCTCCAGGCTCAGCTCAAAAACTGCCTCCTCTGGGAAGCCTTCTAGGACTGCCCTTTATCTCCCTGGGCAATTCCTCTTCCTCATTCAAGACTCCATTCAAGTGTCAAGTCTTATTGGGCTCACGTACTCCATCTTCTGAACCCTATTCCTTCTCCCCACACCCCAACAGAGAAATTCCGTATCTGCCCGCCTCCGCATTAGCCCAAGTGCCTGCTGAGGTCAGGGCTGCTTCTCAGTTCCCTTGTTGCTGAGCACAGGCCTTAGCTCAAGACAGAGGTGCCCCGAGCATTTGGGGTTGAACGCATTTTCACGAGGATGGAAACCGTGGGATGATACATGAAAGGGGTTTCCTCCTGAAGAAGACAGACTCTCCCTCCTGGATTTGTTATAAATGTCCCACAGACAATCACAAGCTATGAGAGGTCCCTCCTGGGACACACTGATTAGGGAGACAAAGCAAGCTAAGCCCTAGAAATTGTCTAGCCCACTTGGTCTCCCTACTCATTCATTAATCATTTATTGATTGCCAACTACAGGCCAAACATTGCTACTTCCATTACTGCATTTCATCCTCTTCTTCGACTCTGCTTGGTAGAAGAAAGCAGAGCTCAGAAGCAAATTGTTTTGCCCAAAGTCATGGAGCTTGTAAGTGGCAGAGCTGGGATTTGAACTTGCCCTAGCCACTGCAGCTCACTTCTCCTCTGCCCAGTTCCGGAGAGGTCTGCAAGGGGAAAGGGTGGGGAGGAGCAGGTGCTGCCCATCAAAATATCTCACCTCTCCCAGGCCTACATAGCCACTATTGGCACAAAGCGAGGTTTTGGATGTACAAGGAGCTACCCAGTGCCAGACACACGGGCTCAGTGCATGCCTGGGTTCACTTAAAAGGGTTGAATGGCTTTGGCTGAAATTCACAAATCTTGGGAACCAGCCTGGGGCTATGATGATCACAAGTTCCCCTCCATGACCTCCGGCAAAAATGGATAAGCACCTAACAGCACGCTACACCTGGGCTTGACACTTGCCTCCGCCCCTGGCTACCTCTATGACCCTGCTCGCCACAGCAGATTCCAAAAACACCTATGCTTGGGCCTGGCCCCCGGAAACTCTGACACGATTAGTTCAGGCAAGGAAGAAGCATCAGTGTGTAGAGAGTAAGTGAATATTCCATCCCAGAACCCTGATGATGTAGCAGAACTTGATCTCTTTCCTACTACCACCTCCCACCTCTCACTTCCCAAACTGCAGCCCTAGTCCTTCGATTTGATCTGAAGATGGAATCCTGATGACCTCCTCTGGCCCCTAGATCCAATCTTACCTGAAACTAGAACTACCCCCTGGACTGCTGTTTTTTGTTGTTGTTGTTGTTTGCTATATAAGCCCCGTATTCCCTTTTTGCTTAAGGCATTTTAGATTAAGTTTCAGCCATTTGCAGCCAAAGTCATCTTAAGGAAGGTGTGCTGGTGGGCAGAGCACTCCCCTGACCTGAAAAGGTCTGTGGCTCTATGTTGCCCCAAAAAGGACTCATCAGTGATTGCAACAGGTGGTGGCAGATGAGAAAAATACAATCTGGGTTGCATCTCCAGAGATGGGAAAAAAAAACGCCTAGCACATCATGCTAGACACTCAACCACTGTTTACAAAATGAAAGGAAGCGCCACCTCCTGGGCCAGGTGACATGGGTTCCAGAGGGGTAGCAAGGAGAAGGGGGGCCGCCTGAGCATGCAGGGGCTGGGACAGAGCTGGCATCTGATTAGTACAACGCAGCAGAAAGAGTAACTCCAGCAAGGGCCTGCAACCTCTGGAAAGCTCTGTCAAGGGCTTGATGCAGGGACCCTTGCTGTGGCCAGAGATGTGCAGGGTTGGCACACAGATGGCCCAAGGAAGCTGCCCCACTGAGCCACTCCAAAGGAGTCGGCACTGGAGCTGAGACCAGGCATTCCCACAGGTGAAGAAGTGACCTGGTGACCCGGCTCCAAAGGGGAAAGGGACGAACACTTAGCAAGTGCCTACTCGCCTACTAAGTGTCTGGATTATCATTCCCATTTTATAGATGAGGACGCTGAGGCTCAGCAAGGCCAGGGGGCTTACACTCCCTTGGGTTGATGTGGATAATTCAGGCTGTAGCTTAAGAGTCAATCCACAGACAGCAGGAAACATGTTTCTAATTCTTTGGTGCCCTCAGAGCCCTTTGGCCAGGTACACAGATCTCAAATGAATGGATGCAGAATCGGCCCTCAGGGAGCTTCCAGTGTGACAGAGGATGCAGGCAGGAAGACAAACAGTGATAACCCAGGTCAGCAGACAGGCAGCACGGGGCTGCGCGAGGGCCTGTGGGGCTCCGGGGTGGGTGGGCTGACGGAGGGGTCCGGGAATGACCAGCCAGGACTCAGGGCAAGTGGACAGAGGGAAGGGCAGGCCCGCAGAGGGCCCAAAGACCCGGTCCATGGAACAGTGGTGCTCAGTGCCACGTATCTGGAGCATAAGGAATCCATGTGCCCAGGGAGGCTCCCTGGGGCCTTTGGTGTCCCATAGCAAGGTGGGAACACCCATGGATGGGTTTGGAGCTGGGTGGGGGTGGAGGGCAGGCCATGTGCTGCCCTCCAATGCCGTATGTGCTGTAGAAAGCCGAAGGTGGACAGCAGGGAAAGGCCTGGAGGTGCAGAAGCCACACACCAGGCGGCTGGGGCAACGATTTCCGGGATGGTAGGAGGCCAGAACGGAGGCCGTGGCAGGGGTTAGGACAGGAGGGGACTCCCAGGACCTGAGGCCCGACTGGGCAGGGAAGCTGTGGCGAGGACCGCAGCCCAGGAGCCAGATTCCTACCTCGGGGGCCAGAGAGTGAGAGGGCGCTGGGCGGGGCAGAGGTCAAGCCTGGACAGGTGGATTTGGGGGCATCCTCGAGTCCCCCGGGTGGGCCCAGAAGACAGGAGGCTAGCAAGGGATGGGGGCGGGCGTGGAGGCCGGGGCGGGAG